GGAGACACGGTGGTTCAGGGCAGGGGGATCACAGGGTGGGGTGCTGGGGTGCTGCATCAGGGCTCAGCAGTGCCAGAAAAAACCCTGCCTGGGGGTTTGGGTGGCCCACTGGGGAGCCACCCTGGTCACCGAAGCTGGGTGCTTGGCTGCTGCCACCCGCAATGGTGGGAGCTTGCAAATTGCAACAAATTATTCAGCGCCCCCCCCATCCAAGCTGGCAGGTAGCCCTGCACCAGGGTCACCCCTGCCTGCAGAGCACGGTCCCGGGCAGGCAGCACCGCAGAACCGAGTCGTGGGGTGAGGACGCCCCGGGCTGGCCCCTCGCAGCCCCTCGCCACCCCGCAGGGACCCAGCCGGGGCGCTGGGGGCCACACGAGAAATCCCCACCCATGGTCTTGCCAAAACCGCCCACTGCAGCCAGGCCCAAGGTGCTGTCCCGTGGGCTGGGGGCCGCTGCGCTGGGGCCGGCGTGGTTTGGTTTGCCGGGGAGGGATGCGCGGGTGGGATGCGTGGCCGTGGCGCAGGCTCCCTGCTCGGGCTGGCTCCCCGAACAGCGCGCTGCCACGCTGCTCTTCAGCAGCTCCGTTCATATCATCGAATTTTAATTTAGTTAGTTGAGTTCTTTAAACAGTGTGAACTTGCTAAGTGCTTTGCATATTTTATACTCATGAGTAACATTTATCAACCAGAAAGTACAATTAATCAAAGAGGGGAGCTTTTGTAACTCAGAGCAGTTTGTATTCTCCCTCTTTCTCCCTGCCGTGCGCTTTCCTCCGTGTCTCCCTCCTCTTCCTCCTCTTCTTCCTCTTCCTCCTCTTCCTCCCTGCTGTCCCACACTGGCCACAGAGCCAGGAGAGCCTCACTGTGCACTACACACACACACACACACGTACGTATGTACTCTCTCTCTCCTTCTTCCCCCCACCATACCATGTACACCATACATACATATATAAAAAATATGGGTTTTATATATATGTTTGTGCATGTGCATATATATGCATATGTCCATGTGCATATATCTATATCCACATACCTCTGTCTGTCTGTTGTGTAAATATATGTGTATATATGTATGGTGTATATGGTATGCTGTATACATACATGTAGGTATATATATAGACATTAATGGTCCATTTACACTGTATGTGTGTATATAAACACACACTTTTATACACAGTTATACTCACAATATTATACACAGCTCATAGAATTTTTATATAAATGTATACTCAATATCCATTATCTATTACCTAATGTATAGCATACAGTTATAGTATATCACATATATTACACTACATATAATAAACACATTTTAGATATTTTGGGCTGCTGGGGGGTTTCAGCAGTGTTGATGGCGATGCTTCAGCCTCCCAGCGAGTGCCAGTGGCTGAGGGAGTGAGGTGGGATGGATGGTCCCAGCCCCAAGCCACGCTGGGTAGCCACTGGGCCAGCAGAAGTGCCCAACCAGCTCCATTTGGGGACAGCGACCAGTGGCCGGTGACAGGGACATGGGAAGCCCTGACAAGGCTCCTGGGCACAAGTGTGGCTGCAGCCTCCCAGCCCATATCCCCTCTCCTTGCCGGGCACTGGGGCCGAGGTGTGGATGACCTCTGTCCCCCAGGCTTCTGTATTTATTTTAAGGGCAGGATCACCCAAACCATGATGGGTTTCAGCTCTGAAGGCCCCAGGGTGACGCGGAGGTGACGCCGGTACCCGGCAAAGGGCTGGCACCAGTGCTGGCAGATGAGAGATGATGGAGCATGGCTGGCACGAAGGGACCTGTGTCTCTGCCACCCCTCTGAGTGTCTTGGCTGCTCTTGGTGAGTGGGGAGAAGCCCTGACCTGATTTATTCCAACTTCCCAAGTCTTTGCCATGGCACAGCGGAGATGGCTGAAGGAGCTGGGCAACCGTGGACGCAGGGGCAGGTTTGGCTGGGGTCAAACCCCACTGCCTCGGCAGAGCAAAAGAGGTGGGAACATCCCGCGTGGGTCCCAGCAAAGTACCTCGGGATTCTTCCCAGGGCCTCGGAGTGCTTCGTTGCTCTATTAATTGCCATTAATGGCAGCAAACGGGGCAGCAGGCGCCCACCCGGACCTGGGTTAAACGCTGCCAAGAGAAGGGCTGTGCCGGCACTGCAGGACCTGCCTTGCAAATCACCTGCAACAACATGCGCTGTCCTGGTCACCTCTTCTCAAAAATGATAGTGCAAAATTAATTAGAATTAATTAATCAGAAAAGGGTAATAAGGGTGATTAAGCACCTGGGGAAAAGAAAAAAAAAGTATTCCTGAAGAGCAATTGCAGCGCCGGTGATTACCTTGAAAGGCGGCAAGTGAGCGGGAGCAGGAGGGGAGTGTGCAGGGAAACAAATGGGCTGGAGAAGGGGGTCTGGGGGGTGTTTTCTGTCTCGTGGCAGAATTACCAAGTGACAAGATTGAAACTGGTCAGAGGAAAAGCATTTCCCGGCAGCAGCGACCACGGGGAGGCAGCTGAGGCGAGGAGGGGAGCGGGTGGCTCTGCGGTGTGGCTGGAGCTGTTGCTGCTGCCACGTTTTTGCAGACTTGGCTTTGCACAAACTGGCTCCAAGGCTGGACCCTTCTCCAGCAGAGAGTGGGACTCAATAGGGTGTCCTCCGTGGTGGCACCTTTGTCCCCAGCCCTTTGCTGGGCTCAGGAGTGTGGTGAGCTGAGGGACGCTCAACCGATTTCTTTTTCCTCTCTTAATTTTCAGCCACACTCTGTTGCCTTAATAATAATAATAATAATAATATAAAATCAAAGGGAACATTCGCAAGGAAGATTGGTCCCCGGTTCAAGGCAACTGCTGCAGGTTTCATTGTAACCTGAGGGGCCGACGTGGACCCCCAGCCCCGGGGACGGGACGGGACGGGACAGAAGCACCGTCCCCTTTCTGCCACTGCAAAGGGCCTCGGCAGCAGGGAAAGATGGAGGGGGTGGCTGGAGCTTAGTGGAAACCATGTTCAGGAGCCCCACGGCAGTACAGTGAAAAAAAAGGAGAAAAATGTCTTTTTTGGAAAAGCAGGGGGAGCAAATAGTGCACGCTCCCATGGGAAATAGGTGGCATGGATGGGACGCGGATGCCCATGGCCTGCTTGAAAACGCTGGTGGCAACCAGAGCGATGCAGCGGCCACTGGTGGGGTTTGGTCATTCAGGTGCCTGTGCCTGGGAGACGCTCACCCCCATGCACCTCCCCAACCACCACCCCGTCCCGGGAGCAGCCAGGCACTGCTGCCCTGTGCTCAGTGTCCCCTCCCCAGTGACAGATAATCTCATTTCCTTAAAATCTGGAAAGCAAAAGGGGGTAAAACCAGTGCTTTCTGCACTCAGAGATGCTCTCGCTGCATCCCCAACTCCGCAGCCGACTAAACGTGTGTTCCCAGCCCCTGCCATCAGCCCCCGCCTTGGGTCGCTGCCATTCCCGGTGCGCTTGGGTCTTTTCACAGGGACTCGGGGCACCTGGGTGCCCAAAATCTGTCCCAGAGTGACAGCTGCTTGCCCAAAGGTGGGGTCTCCCTTCGCTTTCCGCAGAGGCACTGTGGAAGGATGGCAAGGGGCTCTGGCACCGATGCCACATCCCAGTTGTCCGATGGATTTTTGGATGGCCGTGGGGTGAGCAGCTCTGTTTTGGGGACAGCAAATCCTTGCTGGGGCCATTAGGGCATTTGGGGGTATAAGCGGGTGCTGGCTGGGTGGGAACGAACCCCTGCTTCCCCTGTGCCTGTGCAGCGTTGTCCCTGTTGCTGCTACCTTCTGACCGCTTTGGGTGATTTCAAGCAGATTTTTTATTCCTACAGGTTTTGTGTAAGTCCGGGTCTGGGGGAAGGTGAGGGAGGGGCCGGTGCCCTGCTGAGGGAAGGACTCACCCCATATTAGACACCAGAGAATCCACACCAGCCTCCTTTCCCCAGGGACGTGGCTGCAGCCAACCCAGTTTTGTCACTTGTCCCCACAGCGATCCCTTTCCGAAGGCCTCGGGTGTCGCGGGTCCCCATCCACGGGTGTCGGGGGGGGTCGGTTGGGGGTACAGACGGGACACAACGGGGTGGGCTGTTGCTCCTCGACCGGAGACCACCACCACGGAGGGGGGGG